ACTCAGGTTTTAGTCTAGTGGACTCATCAAACTCTAGATGAAGCTACTTGGGTAGATTTGGTTACCTTCAAGAGGGATTTCCCTTCTTTTCCCGCGTGATTTTGCCATCTTGAGGGCAAGCTGCTTCTGAAGGGGAGGGTTTTGTAACAACCCAAGCCAGCTGGATGCCAGCTGTCACCAATATAAATAGAGAGAGCTTACCTGTCATTTACCATCGTTGACCAATCAAGCAGACAGTCATGGAGCTTGTGGCGAATCGGAGGGCTAATTATGCTCCCGATTCCAGGGGTGCGACGTTTTCTTCTTTCCCGTGGCGGCCACGCCTGAGACTTTACCCAGCGCCTCCTTCACCCTCTTCTTCTGGAACTCTTCATCTCATCTGATTCTCCTTTCCCTTACTCTTACTCGCTCCTTCCGGAACCCTCGCCAGATTCTCCGTATTGCATATTGTCGCAGGTACCGACTGAGCTTGCGAAGTGAATACCAAAGCAGGTGTGTAGTGTGCATGATCAAACAGAACGAAACGACACAGTAATGGCAAATATGGAAATAAGTAGAATTCTATAGGGACATTATTGGTATTATGGACACGTGTCAAGCACTCGTTTCTTCGCAGGTTTCAACCGAGCTTTTATATATATTCTTCAATTTGTTTTTTTATTTGAATTAATTAGAAAAAATGTTGAAAGTCTTATGTTGGTAAGTTAATAAAAAATGTCATGTCGACACATTTTGTAATAGTTGGCACAAAAATGACAATATTTGTCACAAACTAAGCTACACATACAATTTAATATTTAATGTTTGAATCAATGTTACTTGAGTTTCAATCCCATAATTAATTCTTCCCATAAGACAGATAACTTTAGGTAAAATATAAATATGAAAGCGTCAACACCAAATATGTTATTAGAGTTTAATCAAAGAAATTGAAATAATACAATGAAGTCTAGTTGATCTTCTAAAATCCCAATAATAACTCTTTTAATATATAAAGATACATTCAGCATAACTATAAAAATGACCTTCTTATAATTACTTTTGGGGCACGAAATTTGAAATGGAGCTTGCAATTTTCTCATTCCACTATAGAGATAGGTGTAGATGTAAATAGATGTAGACTATCACTATGGAATTGGATCGAATTGTAGCCGTCAACTATCACTATGTAATTGCTCAGAAAAAAGCGGGAAAATCCCAAAATACACATATTTAAAAAAAATTCTAAAAATACACACGTCTTATGAATAATTTCCAATCTACATATCTTTAGGCATCATCGCGGCCGTCAACCGTGGTGAAGGCTTCACCGCGTTTGTCGGCCGCGGTGAAGACCTAACTTAAGGCTGAAACTTCATACTAACATAATTTTGCGCTCGATTATCCGATTGTAGTAAAATTTATTTTGATTCCTCATAGCTTTTCAAGATCTTTCAATATGAAACGCTCATTCATCCCAAAAATGTCATTTGCTATCCCGAACTAGCAATTTTTTTATTTATCCAAACTTTGGAACGCCATAACTTTGTTCTCCTCAATCTGAAAGTCATAAAGTTTTTTTGATTGCGCATAACTTTTTAAGAACTACATCTTTTACTAGGAAAGAATTTTTAAAACTAGAAATATTTTTGGGATAAGGGATTTTGGGAATAACTTTGCCTTTTACTTTTCACAAATCCACATACATTCCAAAATTATGGTTATGATCAAAGTTGTAGTCCTTAAAAAGTTATGCGAAACCTAAAAAAAGTTTCTTGACATTCGGATTGCGGAGCACAAAGTTATGCTCTTTCGAAATTTGTCAAAATAAAAAAAATTGTTCGTTTGTGCGGAATCAAAAAATATTTCGCTATGATCGGATAACCGAGCGCAAAGTTACGTTAGTTTGAAGTTTCAGCCTTAGGTCAGGCCTTGACCGCAGTCGTTAACCGCGGTGATGCATTCACCGTTTTAGTCTGCCGTGATGATGCCCAAACATGTGTAGATTGAGTATTTTTCATAAAACGTGTGTATTTTGAGAATTGTTTTCAAACGTGTGTATTCTAGGGAAAAATCAGGAAAAAAATCCTTATAAAACAATCGACAAATATTTAAAAATTTGATGGGCGTGAATACCATAGCAAAACTTGTGAGTAGAAGTGAAATTAGATATTGCACAAAGTTTTATCTCATGTCACCTTTATATATTTTGGAGGTTAGATAAGTGATTAAAAGGCTAATAGATTTGCAGGTATAAGAGAGGTAAAATAGAGTGTAAAACGACGCTGACACTCAAAAGGTAAATTCGTTCAAATACAAACATCTAGGAGAAAACTTTTCAAACTTGAATTCATAAATAACCTAAAACCGGACCATAATTTTTCAGGTGCTCGATCAAAAAAAAAAATCAGGTGCGTTGTATAAATAGCCACTTATTTTTTGGTGGTACCCAAAAATCAGTCACTAAATATTAAATTTTGACATATTAGACCATCTCCAACATCCAACCTAAAAAGACAAAAAATTTAAAATACTTCATTCAACAACAATTTGGAAAAGCCAAAAAGCAAAAAAAGCCAATATTTTCGCCAAATACCCATTGGAAAACGACAAAGAAACCTAAAATGTGGGTTGGGAGCCGACACCCACTTTTTCCAGGCAGTTGACGCGTGCCTCTGCTTTATGACTGACTCACACAAAAGTACACCCCAATAAAATCCCGACGAGAGTCCAAGTTTTTAAACTCTAGACGGGTGCAGTATAGAGCAAGTATTTAGATATCAACCCGGGCCGGTCCGTCTACCCCTACTTCGGTTGTTGAAATCATTATCTAGCAACAAAGTTTTGGTTTAAAGGTTTGCTAATTGAAATAAAAGAAGGCAAAGGAAAATGGTTTGGAAACTCTTTTGTGGAAGGATCTCTCGGGTGTCGCTTCACCCTAATTGCTACCATGATATGTGAATTGGAACGATTGCTTTGGGCAAGGTAATCGTGAACCGCAAATCGATGCATATATGGTCAGAGACCACAATCTCAATTTCTAAACCGATGTAAGCAAGAAAGGCCGTGTCACTTGACCCTCTCGGTTTAGACAATCGGTAATTGACTTACTCCCTCTCTCAACTCAGATGTCGGACGATTTAATCGCAATTAACCGATTTGCTAAAGTCAACATTGAGGGTTTCCCTAACTTAACCTAGTTAGGTGGCTTAGAAAGCGGAAGGAAAACCAACTCGATTGAGTCTCCCTGGGAAGAGGGATTTTCCTCTCTAAGCTAGGCTAAGATGGCTAATTAGATTGATACCACCAACATGCACAAACCTAAGGGTGCTAAGCACAAAACATGCACAACCCCTTGGTTGCTAAGCACAAGCATGCACAATCATGATAAATAATGCCTCGATCATTGAATTGAACAATACCCAATGACAATCATCCAATACACATAAAAGAAAATTACATGGTAGAGTTAGGGTTTCACAACACCCAAGTGAAAGGAGATCTACTCCATGCTAGAAGTGGGAAAACAAAAGGGAAAGAGGTGTAAACCATCTTGGAGGATGCTCTCGGTCTTCTTGGAAGTGAGATTTTCCTCTCTAAGCTAGGCTAACAAAGCGGAAAGAAAACCAACTTGATTGAGTCTCCCTTGGAAGGGGGATTTTCCTCTCTGAGCTAGGCTAAGGTGGCTAATTAGATTGATAGCACCAACATGCACAAGCCTAAGGGTGCTAAGCACAAAACATGCACAACCCTTAGGTTGCTAAGCAAAATCATGATAAATAATGCCTCGGTCATTGAATTGAACAATACCCAATGACTATCATCCAATTCACATAAAAGAAAACTACATGGTAGAGTTAAGGTTTCACAACACCCAAGTGAAAGTAGGTCTACTCCATGCTAGAAGTGGGAAAACAAAAGGGAAAGAGGTGGAAACCATCTTGGAGGATGCTCTCAGTTTTCTTGGCCCTTGAGTTGAGCTTCCTTGGAGGAAATCTTCCCAAAATTTTCCTTGAAGCAAAACCCTAGCCTTCTTCTTCATTTGGTTCATGTTTCTCTCTCTAGAATTCTGAAGAAGGCTTCTCACACAAAATGGGCTCTCTCCTCTCTCCTCCTTTCATCTCATCTTTTAAACCAGAGACGAGCTGAGTTCACGGCGTCAGTTCATGGCCGTGAACCATAAAACACGTCCTTGAACTTCACGCGTGCGCCAAAACGCGTCCGTGAACTCACCATGCGTCAGTAACCTCTGTTTTGGCTCTGGACGCCTCACGGTTCACGGTCAGGGGCTCTTCTTCACGGTCTTGCATGACCACGAACTTCCTGGGAAAGCTGTGAACTGGCCCTTTTTCACCTCTTCTCCCGGTTTTTTATCCTTTTCGCCCAACTTTCGACTCCGTGGCTGGTTTCACCTGTTGAATCCTGAAACATGCTAAAACACGAGAAACCTAGCGTAAAACCAACCATTTAGGAGTGAATTTGTCACAAACACCTAAGTAAACGGGGCAAAACATGTGCAATTAGGCTCGAATCAATGACCGTTGTACAAGCAAAAAAAGGAAGTTGTTTCAGTAACCCAATTAATTACCAATGGCTCTATTAACCCCCAACAACTCTTTTTCACAGATTTCTCTATAAATACCTCATGTTTCTTCACTTCAACCTCATCTCTTCCAATTTCTTCTCTCATTCTCATCAAAGATCAATTATATCTTCCTCCCAAGAAATTAAAACTTCTCTTACTCCCAAATTTCTGATCATGTCTCAACCTAATTGCTTACCAAATTGGAAGGAATCCGAAGATGAGGTTTTGTGCAAAGCTTGGATTGATATTTTGGAGGATAGTTCTATCGACCATTATCAATCTATGCCTGAGTTTTGGCGGCAAATTGGAGTCATGTATAATGCTAAAGGATGGAGAATTTCACGTAGTGATGATACTGAACTCGAGCTACACGGCCACCCTGACTTCAATACTCACCTTCCTTCAACTGAAGCCAAATATCATCGACGGGCTGAAGATGAATGACTTGAGGGTAGGTTGCGATGCAGATTGGTTCGTCAGGAACTACCTCGAAAAAGTGTTGAAATTCAAAGCAGACAATATCATCAGCGTCGACATCGAGGACAAATACACAACTCTACTCGAGGAGAAGCAAATATCTGTTGTGTTTATGGAGCTCCCGTATCAGAAAGTGTTCACTAATCGCAACTATAACAACCCTGTTGGCCGGAGATCATTAATTCGCCGTGTACTATTAAACTTGGTTCCTTGCAGGAGTTTCAGAAAAGGTTCTCCAATAGTAGCCGACGTATTGAAGGCCATCCTGAAGGTGTCAGAAGATGGAACTTTGCAAAGGCTGGAAAAGGATTGATTTTCTCCATCTAGAGAGAGTGTTTAGACAGTAGGAGCAGTGACAAAACGGGAGACTTGAGCCTCCATTACTTCTGGGGCATGTACATTATATATGGACCCATGTCCACTATCTGTTGGGTGGTGTGTCTTCTGCATTTGTTGAAGAAGAAGTACATGTTTCGTCATAAAGAGGAAGAACACGGGGATCTTGGTTTATGGAACAAGATGATTGAGTTAGTAAAATACCTATGTAGTGGTGATGCTCTTGCAGAAAGTGGGTCTCTCCCTCCAGCTTCATCATAAGATGAAGAGGAGCGTGAGAGTTCTTCGACCATAACAAGTTCTAATCTTTTAAGGTTTCTTTATGCGAAAGTAAATTATGGTGCGGAGGTGTTTCAATCATTCAAGTTGTAATATTTTACTCTTGGTACTTTGTTTGTTTCCACCTCAGTTTCACGTGGTTGCACTCCTGGTGAACATCAACTCATGGCCTCAACTGCATCTCCACACCAAGCAAATTATGTTGGTAGCCTACAAGTCCACTATTTAACTAAGGTGGTAGATGAACTCACTCTTCATTTCCTAATCATCCCACTTCCAAAGCTGGTTTTTCCTGCTTTGTTCCTCATCCTTCTTCTCCTTTTGAACTTGCTGTAACTGTTGAATTACTTGCTTGATTTTTCTCTGACTGCCCCCTCCAATAGATATATGTGTGGATTGGTTGCTTTTCTTCCACGATGGGTCACCTTTATGTAGCTGCTCACAGTAAGTTGCAGAATTGCAGCTGAGATTTTGGGGATTTTGCCAAACTGTAATCACAAAGAACAACCCAGCAATGCACTTCAGGGAATGGTTGATTAGCAACCTCAAGTATGAAAACAAAATGAATGAATTTGGGCCTTTTGGCGCCATCTGCTGGCACCTCCAAAAATAGAGAAATCAATTCATTTTTAGAGGCAAACCAGAAGCCCCCTTGGTCCTTCTGAGCAAATCATACTGTGGCTAAACGTAATATGGAACACAGGGGCGATCAAAATGCAAAGTCAACTACATTGGACAAGAAGGATTGAGCAACATCTGTCGTGGAAACCCCTCGGGTTGCAGAGTTCTCCAACACAACTCAAATGACTAGAGTGGAAAGTCCACTTGGCTATGGATTCAAGATGACAGTATCGATATTAAAGAGTTACCACAACTGCTCGCACAGGTATGGTGCATCGCTGATGCAGAGTTTCGTCTCAAACAAAGCTTGAGAGGTTACTATCCCTCACACTGATAGAGAATGCAATCATGTGGATGTGGTCCACTACACCAATAAAGGTCATTCTCACACGGGTTAGTAAACCATTAAAAAACCTTCTGCCTTATGTTTGTCTATATCCTTTGGTTAGTTCTCTTTATCAATTTTTCGATTGTGTGTATGTATACATTAGGACAAGACTCTTTACAATGCAAAAGCATATAACAGGTAAGGTGAATATGAGAAGACCATAGAGGCTTATAACAGGAAGCAGGTACTAACTAATCCTTCTCTTCCTCTTCTCTTCCTTATAACAGGAAGCAGGTACTAACTAATTGCTCAAATTTTACCAAGATAACCTGAGTATGGATTGATTTGATTTATTAAGTAACGAATATTAGCTATAAAAAAAAAGTATCTTTTTGGGCCATTTTTCAGCTTAAAATTTAGAAAGCTAACGAAGAGTTTACCGGGGACATGAGTTAACTTTTTTATACATATGTTTTGTAGATATCAACATGATTGTAAATGCTTCTTGCATAACAAGGCTATTGTGCTATGACTATGTTGTTTTTTAAGTATATTAAACATGACTAAATCTCTTGTGGCGTAGCCGCGGATATTAAAACTAGTATATATAAGAGGTAACTGTGAGATTGGGTCTCCATCGGCCCGTAGCTATGCAGACACCGAAAAAATATACAAGTTCATTAGAAAATAAAACTCCTTTTAATTTAAATCTTAGATCTAATCTCAGCTCACAAAATTAAAATCCAAATTCAAAGAATAAATATAATTTAATTTTTAGAAAAAGGAAGACAAATAGTAAGTGAAAAAGCTTATCCCGTCAACTGTCGCGGTTCATAATATTTTGTTTTGATTCAATGAAGAAATATCGAAAATTTCCTGGTCTGTTTACAACAATTCAGTGAAGAACACGGTGGATGGATAGACATAGATAGCAAGAGCAGGAATACTCTGGACACCTGTCATATAATTCCAAGCTTAAGATCCCAGGGACACCTTCCATGCGGCATAAACTTGCCTTGATTTATTTATGAATTAAGAAGTAAAAGGCAAGGCATTGATTTCCTAGCTACAACTGTCTGGTCGAGATTCGAGAATAGACTAGAATATCCCTTCCAGACCAATAGGAAGTGGGCAATTTTAGAATTTCCTAGCAACAACTGTCTGGTCGAGATTTGAGAATGCCATTAGCTACAAGTGATGTGTTTTGTTGGTTCATGTTTATGGGGAAAGAGTATGCCAATACATTTTCTTTGGGGTTTAATTGTTATTTGGATGTTTTATGATACATTGGATATTTCGAGAATTATAAGGGTCAAATCGGTAAGGTTAAGTTTTTGGGTAGTTATAGAGAATTAGTCGGATTATATATATTCTGTGTTAGGCATAAGCTAGGGTTAAGTAATAACACCAGTATTATTCCCTAAGCACTATCTCTCTCTCTAGCCGAGCCTTCCCTCTCTCCCTCTCTAGCCGTCGGCCACCATCCCGATGACCCGACCTCTCTTCCTCTCAACCCTAATTTCTATTCTATCTCACCCAAATCCCCAATTCTCATACCAATCGCGATCCCTAAATCACACACCTAGGTCTGTGCTCTTTCAGTGGTATCAGAGCCTGGCTGGTGTGCCGATTTTCCTGAAAGAGTGATTAGATACGCATGATGACGAACCGACTGACAAACCGCAACCGCCGCACCAGAACAAGGAGATCGTGACAGTCAAGGATGTCACAACAAACAAGTATGACGCAATCGCGCCATTATTGGAAAGCCTGACGGAAGTTACGGAGAGGGCAGTTGAGGCCTCAAAGGGCTCAATCGGTGCAATTGAAGCCATGGGTGACCATATCAAGGCATCCATCGAAGAGATGGGCAAGAGCTTGGCTGAGAACATCTGCGGAGCCCTGGTAGCGACGATGAAGGAGGTGTTGACTTAGGTTCTCAAAAACCGCGAGCAACCGGCAACCGCAGCCTTGGTGGTGAAGCCGGCAACGGCCGTGGAGAAGCTGGTCGGGCCTGGTGGTGGCGACACGGCGGCGGTGATCAAGAAGAAGCCGCCGGGCGGCGGCGCTGGAGCTGGGGGGGCCACGTCGGTGGCTAGCTCGGGAGACGACGACGGCCAAGGAGAATCCGCCGAGCGGTGGAGGTGAAGTAGGTTCGACGCAGGGGACTGTTGCAGGGGGAAGGGTGGCTCGCCGGGGAGCTCCTCCATGTCGTGCAGCCGCGTCATTGAGGAAGGAGACCTGGGCGCGATAAGCGCGCCAGAGCCGGTGTTCAGCGGGCCAAGCTTACTGCCGATACCGACGGACCAGGCCAATGACAAGGCCCGTGGGAAGCAGAAGATGGTGGGATACGAAGGAGAGCCGTGGCCTACTGGGCCCGGTGGAGAGGAACCATGGCAGACTGAACCCGTAAGTGAGGATGAGTGGAGCTTCACGGACCAAGAGGGGTGGTGGGTGAACCCAGGATCCGCCGAAGAAATCAGACTAGGTTGGGTGGCGGACAACAAACCAGGCCGAATCGGACCGGCAGCCGGGTCCATGACTAGTCGGACCGAGGCCGGTCGAACCGGGCAAGACCAAACCGGGTTGGGCCGTCGACCAACGAGCAGTAGGTCGGAGCCGCGAGAATGGCTAGGGATGTCCGGGAGCGGGATATCCCCCATGGGGTACTCCTCGAGCTGATGGAAGACGTGGGCGTAGCGGTCGGGAATTTGGAGAAGGGTCTCGATCTAAGCGAGACTATATAGAGGATCACGCAATCACAGGTGACTGGCCGCACTCTCATCAGTAGCGATTTGAGCAAGGCTATCCCGACAACGGATGGAAGAATCGGCAAACTCCGCCGAGCGCCGGCAGGTATGGATATAGTAATCCCATGTATGATGTTGAGAATGAACTGGTGTTTAGAGCTAAACCACTGGTGATAGAGTTTCCCAAGTTCGATGGTGTCAGAACAGAAGCGTGCAATCGATAATCCAAATCAACACGAACGAACACAAATTTATCGTGGTTCACTAACACAATGTGTGCTAGCTAATCCACGGGCAGGGGAGAACAAATTTCACTGATTTGAGGAGAGTACAGGTTACAACCCAAATTCCGGATGGACAAACCAAACAAACTAACCTGACTGACCTTACAACAAATTAGGGTGATGAAGAGTATTTATAAAACTCTTCTCCTAATCTCAAACAGAAAACCAAATACTTTTTCCCAAACATACAAAGAAAAAGGACAAACCCAAACCCAAACAGAATAGGCCAAAAATACAATACAAACCCAAATGAAATTTAAGTCATATCTTAACAGATGGGTCAGGAGATGTGGGATTATGGCTTTATGCAGCAGAGAGGTGGTTCAGGCACCATCCGATCCGAGAAGAGTGGAAGGCACCCCTGGCGTCCTTCTATCTTGAGGGGATGCTCTCTAGTGGTGGGAATGGACCGAGAGAGCTTACGCGGCGGCAGGTGAGATCATATCGTGGGCCACGTTCTAGGACGAGCTGCTCTACCAGTTTGGCAAGGCATAAGGGTGGGCTCAGGGACAGCTCGCCAAGCTCAGACAGACGGGTTCAGTGGCCGAGTATCACGCGGAGTTCCTTAAACTGGGCAACCAGTGCAAGGAAATGACAGAAGAGACCTTGGTGGGTTTGCGCATGGCGGGGCTCCGTCCCGAGCTGGCAACGGCCGTGAAGGTCTTTGAACCTGACTCTCTTCGAGTTGTTTTCAGGATTGCAGGACGCAAAGAAGAGAAGTTGGCCAGTTGGAGGACCTCACTGGGCGCATTCAGAAGGCCAGTGGAGGCATCGGAGCTGGAGCAGCGGGTACCACACCACCGCCGGGAAATGCAAGCCCATTGGCCACTGGAGCTGCGCCAAGGAGCAGGTTTCCGTCAAGACTGCCGCCAAAAGGGTTTGTCAGGTTAACTTAGGCGGAAATGGACCAGAACCGCAGAGATGGCCGTTGTTTCAACTGTCACGAAAGGTACACGATGGGACACCAGTGCGCCAAGGGACATCTGATGTTGCTTGTCGGAAACTGGGAAGATGAAGGCGAGGAAGTGCAGGCACGGGAGGCAGAAGGGAAGAAGGAAGAGAAGAAAGAAGGTCCACCTTGAGGGCAGGGTGGGTTTCAAGGGAGATGGAATGTCAGATACATGTCCTTTGGGGGTTTAATTGTTATTTGGATGTTTTATGATAAATTGGATATTTCGGGAATTATTGGGGTCAAATCGGTTAGGTTAAGTCTTTGGGTAGTTATAGGGAATTAGTCGGATTATATATATTCTGTGTTAGGCATAAGCTAGGGCTAAGTAATGACAATAGTATTATTCCCTAAGCACTATCTCTCTCTCTCTAGTCCAGCCTTCCCTCTCTACCTCTCTAACCGTCGGCCATCATCCCAGTGACCCGACCTCTCTTCCTCTCAACCCTAATTCCTATTCTATCTCACCCAAATCCTCAATTCTCATACCAATCGCAATCCCTAAATCGCACACATAGGTCTGTGATCTTTCAGTGGTATTAAAGCCTGGCTAGTGTGCCGATTTTCTTGAAAGAGTGCTGAGATTCGCAAGATGACGAACCCGACTGACAAACCGCAACCGCCGTAGCAGAACAAGGAGATCGTGATAGTCAAGGATGTCACGACAAACAAGTATGACGTGATCGCATCATCGTTGGAAAGCGTGAAGGAAGTTACGGACAGGGCAGCTGAGGCCTCAAAGGGCTCGATCAGTGCAATTGAAGCAATGGGTGACCAGATCAAGTCATCCATCAAAGAGATTGTCAAGAGCGTGGCTGAGAACATCTGCAGAGCCCTGTTAGCGACGATGAAGGAGGTGTTGACCCAGGTTCACCATAACCACGAGCAACCGACAACCGCAGCCCTGGCGGTGAAGCCGGCGACGGCCGCAGAGAAGCTGGCCGGGCCGAGTGGTGACGACACGGCGGCGGCGATCTAGGAGAAGCCGCTGAGCAGCGGTGCTGGAGCTCGGGGGGCCACGTCTTGGCGGCTCGGGAGACGAAGACGGCTAAGGAGAAGCCGCCGAGCGGCGGCGGTGAAGTAGGGTCGGCGTAGGGGACCGCCGCAGGGGGGGACGCGCGGGTCTCGACCGGGAAGGGCGGCGCGCCAGGGAACTCCTCCACGCCGCGCAGCCTCGTCGTTGAGGAAGGAGACTTGGGCGCGATAAGCGCGCCAGAGCCGGTGTACAGCAGGCCAGGCTTACTGCCAATACCGACGGACCAGACCCATGACAAGGCCCGTCGGAAGAGAAGATGGTGGGGTACGAAGGAGAGTCATGGCCGATTGGGCGCGGTAGAGAGGAACCATGGCTGACTGGACCTGGAAGCGAGGATGAGTTGAGCTTCGCGGGCCAAGAGGGGTGGTGGGTGAACACAGGACCCGCCGAAGAAATCAGACCAGGCTGGGTGGCGGACAACAAACCAGGCCAAATCGGACCGGTCGCCGGGTCCATGATCAGTAAGACCGAAGTCGATCAAACCGGGTTGGACCAAAACGGGTTGGGCCGCCGACCAGCGGGAAGCAGCTAGGGCGCAGCAGGTCGGAGCCGCGAGAATGGCTAGGGAGGTCCGAGAGCGGCATATCCCCCCATGGGGTACTCCTCGAGCTTGTGGAGGACGTGGGCGTAGCGGTCGGGAATTGGGAAAGGGTATACATCTAAGCGAGACTATAGAGTGGATCAGGCAATCACAGGTGACTGACCGCACTCTCATCAGCAACGATTCGAGCCAAGCTATCCTGACAACGGATTGATGAATCGGCAACCTCCGCCGAGCGCCGGCAGGTAACGATATAGTAATCCCCTGTGTGATGTTGAGGATGAACTGTTGTTTAGGGCTAAACCACTGGTGATAGAGTTTCCCAATTCGATGATGTCAGAACGAACACAAATTTAATGTGGTTCACTAACACAATGAATGCTAGCTAATCCACGGGCAGGCGAGAACTAATTTCACTGATTTGAGGAGAGTACAGGTTACAACCCAAATTCCGGATGGACAAACCAAACTAACTAACCTGACTGACCTGACAACAAATTAGGGTGATGAAGAGTATTTATAGAACTCTTCTCCTAATCCCAAACAAAAAACCAAATACTTTTTCCCAAACATACAAAGAAAAAGGCCAAACCCAAACCCAAACATGATAGACCTAAAACACAAAATAAACTCAAATCAAATTCAAGTCATATCCTTACAGATGGGTCTGGAGATGTGGGATTATGGCTTTATGCAGCAGAGAGGTGGTTCAGGAACCATCCGATCCGAGAAGAGCGGAAGGCGCACCTGGCGTCCTTCTATCTTGAGGGGATGCTCTCTAGTGGTGGGAATGGACCGAGAGAGCTTACTCGGCGGAAGGTGAGATCATATCGTGGGCCACGTTCCAAGACAAGCTTCTCTACCAGTTTGGCAAGGCAGAAGGGTGGGCTCCGGAACAGCTCGCCAAGCTCAGACAGATGGGTTCAGTGGCCGAGTATCGCGCGGAGTTCCTTAAGCTGGGGAACTAGTGCAAGGAAATGACAGAAGAGACCTTGGTGGGTTTGTGCATGGTGGGGCTCTGAATCGCTACGACACAACACCTAACAATGGCCAAGTGTAACCAATGAAAGGGACTGTAGTATAGTGGCTCAAGTGATAAATATCGAATCCACGGGTCTCTAGAGTTACTATTACTCAGCTTCAGTTTATTATTTAGCAAACCAGATTATGATGAAAGAACTAAAACTACTCTAGCAAACTACAGTTAAAGTTAATCTAATTACAGGTTGGGAACTCACTTAGGTATGATTCCCCCTAGCCACTAGCCAGACTAACGATTGATGATTTCTAACTTGTTTCACTTTCATTCACAATGCGGAGAATCCTTGACTAGACCTTGAGTCTTGACTAAAGGAACAAGGCCCTCTTGAGTCAATTGCCTAGAGGGACGTATCCTTCTCTAGAACAACAGATCAAGGCGTTCTGAACTAGACTCCCTCTATCGAAAGAGGTTCTCAATCGATACAAAGCAGTGAATCAACCCTCGACTAAAGCAATTGATCCACTACTATCAATCTATGGTGCTCTATTGACCTAATCAGGTATTCCCTCTCATAGGATCAAAGCAGAATCAATAATCTCGACTAAAGCAGATTTGAATCAAGAAAACATGCATAGTTTGAATATGAACTCAAGATTATCAAGTCAGAGTACTCATACAATCATCCAATCAAACAAACATAGCTAGGGTTCCTCAAAACCTAAGTGAAGGGAAGTTACTCCATAGAGAAGAGAGAGACTGTAGTAATAATCTTCAGATGATCAGTCTTCAAGTCCAGGCTTGTTCCTCGAGCTTCCAAGGCAAAGAAATCCTCCAATTCCACTCCAAGAATGCCCTCAAATCGCCCTCTCTCTCTTTGGTTCGTCCCTTGGGTGTTTGGGATCCAAAACCCATCTCTACCTCTCCTTTGGCTCGAATTTGGGTTAAAAAACCCGATTCTGGGCAAAACACTGTCGAGGACACGGCCGTGTTTTGCTTTTGCCCGCCCGTGTTTTTCCCCGTGTTAAAAACACGCTCGCGCGGGTCGGCCAAAACACGGTCGTGCCTAAATATGGGCACGGCCGTGTTTTGATTTAGGCGCCCCCGTGTTTTTACTGCCGAACCTGTTCCCCTATATTCAATGCTTCGTTTCTCCCTCGTCCGTACTCCGAATCAGTCG